GTCTTTATTTTACAGTTAAAATAAATGTTTATCAAATAAAGTCTAATGTTACAACTAATCGGGGATCCCTTTAAAAAGTTTAAGTGCAATTACTGCACGATTAAGGACCACACTGGAAGGAGCGGTTCAAACCAGTTCAAACCTACTGCTACGTTTAATGGTCGCCTACAAACAGCATTACCGCCATCATCAGGCAAATATGTGTGAAGACAATTTTTGGACTGTGGAAATGCCCAAAACCCACCCACTGGTACAGGACTGGAACGCCAAAGCACCTGAACTGACCCGTTCCAACACTGACTGTACCAACACCACACTAGGTGGCACTAGTGGAAAAGGGGCATAAAGGCTTGTTTATACTTCGTGTCGTACATCGTGTTCCCCCTGCTGAGTGATGTCTGCTCTCCCTGCTCCCCCCGGTGACAGATGTTATGTACGATGGCCACAGTCAGAACTCTGCGGCTCGAAGCRTGTGATTGGTTAAAGCTTTGTGGGTGTGTTTGCTCATGAGGAACAAGCAGCGGTCCAGAGCTGGACTCCGAGCAGCTCTTCCTTCTGCATGTTAGTTTGTGTAAAATATATATATATTTTTGTCTGAAGCCAGTTGTTAAAAGAGCTAGAAGGAATGTGAGCATGCAGCTGACGTTCACGTTAACAAAAAAATTAAATAAAAAAGAAAGAAGTTTTTCCTCCGCGGACTCTTCACCTAACACAAAACTGATCGTTGAGTCAAAAAACAAAAACAATATCCAGCCATCATTATTGTTCTCCTATGTCTATGAGCTGTAGAAGGGCAAAGGGCAGAATTATGATAATTTATGGCCCTCTGTGTCTTCAGCCTGTTTATACTCAGTCAGGATAAAGACATCAGATTTTTTTTGTCACTCAGCAGGGGGAATGAGATGTGCCACTCAAAGTATAGAACAAGCTTGAGACAGGAGAGGTGGGCTGAGACAACAGTTTGAACAAACTGTGAGCACACAGACTTTATTCACCTGATTGGGCATGACTCTTTTCTTGGTGGCGTTGGCAGCGGTCCTCTGCTGAGCACTGCAGGACACAAGAACCTTTACCATCTGACTGTTGTAGTGTTTTCCTCCAAACACTACAGTGAAACATCTTACCAATGTTCATTTATTATTTAAACACAATGAAATATTAAATCACGAGTTCACAGACAAACACTTGGATTAACTTTTTCTGTAGAAAATCCTCCGATAAAAAAATCCCACTTTTCTTCTGGTTTAAAAAAAAAATAAATAAATAAATAACAGTTAAACCCTGAAAAATTTACGAGGGTTACTTTTTATTGACCCATATCTGATATATTTAGTTTTATCAGCTAAAACACCATTTAAAAWATGGTAATTAAAATCACAATGCACAGTGTCTTTAAATTATGTTAGAAAAGGAAGGTTTCCATACTGAGATGGAAAATGTTTACTGTTTAACAACAAAACACGCAAATCCTTTGCATTCACCTTCAACAAACTGTTTCAGTTATTTAAAGAAATAAAATATAGTTGGAAAAGTTCAAAACAGTAGTTTCAGATGAGGTGAGCTGCAGCTACACYGTTTGTCCATTAGAGAGCAGTGAAGTGTTTTAACTGTAAATATCAAAAAATACGAGAACAATTAGATTAAAATGTAACTAAACTCAAAATCCAGTCGAATATTTCTATAATCTAAAATCCTTTTAAGTTGTTTCTTCACAGAAAAGTTCATTAAAATATTATTTAATAGGTTGAACTGATTGGATGTTGTGTTAAAAGGAGAAACTTTAACAACAACTGAACATTTTCAGTCCAGGACATCAAGAACCTAGTAGATTTATTTTAAATATGGTAAATAGACTTTTTTTATTTTTTCATTCTTTTAAAGATTTTCTAAGATATTTTATTAAAGATTTACAAGTARTAAAACAGCCAAAAATGTAGTGTACAGTTAAGGTCTTAAAACAATATCACCTTTGAGATTGTAGCATTTTAGAGAGCAACAATCCACTCTGGTCTTGGTCCTACTTAGATTAGCTGTCAGCTCATCAGAAATAATAACCCAGATAGTAAAATAAGAGTGAATCAACACTGAAATATGGTTAGACATGAATACTGAATCCAGGTTGAAATTATACAAAAAGTGGTCGGTGACTTACTTGTTGAAACAATGTTAGGTTTTTAACCATAATTGATACTTTATCAATATTGATTTAACATTAATTAGACGTTGTTATTTCAATCATTAGAACTCGACCATAAAACATTGTTTCAATAACATCTTTTCAGCTTTGGTTAGGGCCCTGACCCACTGATGTTTTGGACAACTTAAGCATTTTTTTCCCAACACGCTGAGGAAGAGAAAAAAACCCATCTATTAGCACCTTCATTTGGATGTGATCATACCGTGTTCCTAACAACTCAAACAGATATAAAACCTATGAGTAAATTATCCCTACTTTAAAATCATTGGGCCTCATGAAAGAACATGTTCTT